AAAAAAATATGAAAAGCTCTCCCAAAAAGGAGAATAAAAGATTGGGGGGGAAATGAGGAAAGAGAAAATAATAGATAAGAATAATCAAAAACAAGCAAATAAAATCAGGTACGAAATACCTTAAAAAGAATCTGAAGCAATAAAACAGAAGTAATAATCAATAACACCATAGACTAAGACACTAGGTTGACCTAGTACCAGGAAAATTTAACCAAAAACAACCAGGAAATTATCCTGGTTGAAGTATTAAACACAAAGAATTTATGTTTCCAGGGAGAAAAATGCTACGAATATATAAAGAATAAAAAATTTGGCTGGTGTCAGACTTATACCCTACATATCATGAGTCACTTGCAGAATATATAGCAATATCTTTAAAGATGGAGGAGAAAGATTTTAATCCAAATATTTCATAACCAGCCAAATTGTCATCCACCTGTGAAAGCAATATTAAGATAACGTAGGCTATTCAAGACTAAAGAGGGTATAATATTCATTTGCTCCCTGCAAAAATTATTCAAATAATTATTCAAATAAACCAAGAAAGAATCAGCTAAATAAAGAGAATTGGAAAGCTATGATATAAAAGGACAGATGGTGATAATAGGAACCATTTAAACAAATTAAAGCCTGGCTTTTCTGGTATATATTTTCTGGTGCTTTACTCGTTAATTATGCATGGGAGATAAGTTTTCTGAATCCTAAAATTTCAAAAAATGACTTTAATTTGTTCTTACATTTGTTTGATAACTTAGCTATATATGAAATTCTAGTGTCAATGTCATTTTTTTCCTTCAGAACTTTTCCAAGTCTTTAAGCATTTCCTAATGGAAATGAAAAATATGCTTCCCTAATTTTTGCTTTTGTACCTATTTTTTCATTCTGTAAATGCTTTTTTTCTCTTTATCATCAATGTTCTGAAATTTCTCAACCATGTATATAAGTATGAATCATTATTCATTTACACTGCTCAGCACTTGATAAACCCTTTCCATTTGAAGGTATATTTCTCCCTGGGATTCTAGGAAAATTTTGCTATTATGTCTTTGATAATTTCCTCACCTTTATCCTGACTTTTGGAAATTGTAATAGACTAAATCTGTATATCTTAGATTAACCCTCTTTCTTTCTTTTTAATATTTTACATCTTGCTTTCTTTTTGCCTTATATCTAGATCATTGACTTTAGCTTTCAAAATTTCTATTGAATTTTTTATTGGACAATCATTTCTTAAACCAAAATGTCCTTTCTTATTCTGAT